AAGAGATCTGTATTGATAATATTGATAATAATTTTAATTTTTTATAAATAACAAGATTAAAGGATATATTATACATTAAGAGTGTGTATAACTTATAATAAACATTATAATTAAAGTATTAATATTTTATATTTATTATAAAATGTACCTATGGAGGTTTTGTACCCATTATAAATTTTTATTACAGTCAGACCTTTCTAAGTGCACATCCTCTCTAAATACACACTCAAATTTTGGCCTTGACTTCTATAAATGCACCTTTTCTTATTATTGTCTAAATACAAGTTAAAGTGTATCCCGAGGATGTGTACTTAGGGGAATTTTACTGTAGAAGATCCCGTTGGATAAATCAATTACAGTAATAAGATTTTTAGATATGCATTTTATAGGTTTTAATACAGTACTTTTTTATAATACTTATTTCTAGGCCCACAGAGAATTTGATCAAATGCTTGAAACTTGTAATAAGCAAAGAAAAATAAACGGAGCTTGAATAATTGAATGGCTAGCTAAATTGAAAAATCAGACTTTTATTACAAATGAACTACTTACTGCCAAGTGTTTTTACTAATTTTGTTGCTCCATAAAGATGCATGTTACCAATAATGTTCAAACTTAAATTTGTATTTATACGGAGAACTTTCAATAATTTTTTTATTCTTTTTGTATCAAAGTTATTGCATACAAAGTTTTAGAGAAGTTAGATTAGTATTTATTTTAAGGATTTCTATTATCTCATTATTAATAATTCCGTAAAGTTTTAAAATTTTAAAAAAAATTTTTGATCAACAAAATATAACTATATGAACCGTTTCATAAAAATTATTCGGAGAAGATAAAGAGGAGAACCAAGCCATTTTCGATACCAAGATATAAATTATAGTCTTAAATCTAAGTAGTATAAGCTGCATATTCAGATAATGCTTTGAAAATTTCGGAACTTTATGTTTAGTGGATAAATTGTTTTTGTTCTTCAATGTTTAACTATAAAACATACACATCACAATCCTTTCATCAATGAAATAATTCAGCGGTTTATTCCATGATAGTGGTATTCAATTCATTACCATTACCGATTTACAAGAAGGCTCGAAAATAAGCCTCCATAATATTTTCATTTGCCGCTGAAGTAATTAAATATTTATAAAGGCATTCAATTGGCAGTTGCTTATATATTCTAAAAGGTAAAATTTATGAGGTAGCAAAATCTCATTAATACGTGTTATTATAAAATCTTTTATGGAAGTTGCTAAGGAGGAGTTAATTCAATTGCATATTGCATAAATTGCATTTTTGATATTTATGAACGGTATTGTAACGAATTAAATTTTATTTTTCTATATTATTGTAAATATTTCTTTATTTTCTCGGTAAATCATCCGAATGTACATAGTTGATTAGTAATTCCCCATCCATTTTAGTATCTATATAAGGTAGCTGCGCAACGTAGTTGCGCTAAAACCAGGAATAGATATACCATTTAGATATGTTTGAAGATTAATAATATAAATTTTAATAGCTTATTATTAGGATTTTATAATTAGTTATTTCTATTAACTATTTAAAATTAAAACATAAACTTATTTATATATATAGCATAGTATATTATAGCTATTAAAAAAATTGTTACGCAAAAATTAGGCTATATAAAAATATAATATGAATCTTTATAAATTATTTTTTATTAATACTAATATTTTAACAATTTTTGTTATGAATATTTGTTTACTTTTATTTATTATCAGTATGCTCATTGTAATGAATTTATTATATATTGTATGATAGCTTGTAGTAGTTATATTTATAAAAATTGTTATTTTAATAATGAATAATTGTGCTGCATTTATATAGGGTTACAAATATTGTTTTTAAATACTAACCAATACTGTATTTATATATTATATTCAGTGTTGGCAAATAGAACAATAGAACAAAAGCTCAATTTTTTGTCTTTATATAAAAAATTTTTTATTAATAATTTGCAATTATTTAAACATATATTGTTAGAGCATTAGTAAAGTAATAAATTTAAAATATTTTTATATTTAATTAGTAAATTTAATATTAAAAATTTACAATAGAAAAATAAAAAAATGAATAGAATTAGAAACCAATAGAAAAAACATATAAACATGACAACACTGATTATATTACAGTTGGATCTCTCTATAATCACACCTCATATAGTCACACCTCTATTTAACCACCCTTTTTTGTGTGAGCGAAAACCTCATTATAGTCACAAATCACTTATAATTACTATCACCTTAAAATTTAATTTTTAAATCAAATTTATTAATAAAAAAACCTCTTTATAATCACAAATTTATTAATTAAAAATTTTTTTCACTAAGTTAACTACCTTTGAGTCTCTAGTAAAGTTGTAGAGCTCATTAAGACGAATCTAATGGTGGTTAAATCATCCAAATCGGTACTCTCCACACCGATTAGACAATAAGTTAAAAAATAGAAATATGAACAACCTATACGAAGATCTACACAGCTGTTTACAATCTTCACAGCTGTGAACCCTTTGGATTTGGATCCTATAGGCATTGCTAAAAATTGAAAAAAACGCATTTTCATGTATTTAGATAAATTTAGACTATTATTTGAGTTGTAGTTGCTGAGGCAGCATGCACTATTCCCCATATTTCAAATAAATAATTCTGCTTCAAATGATCTCAAGCGAAAATAATAATAATAATTATATTTGTAAATTGGTTCTTTGCTTTAATTTAGATTGTGTATAGCTTTTTTCTAAATGTTAATATTTCTCGAGTTATGAACGATTTTTTTTATATATACTTTTGCAGCTTTTATATTTGAGTGCTGCAGAGCAAAAAGCTGGAAGTGAATATTTAAGTTTTCACTATGACGAGTTTAGCCCCTGATGAATTACAACATTACGTATTGATAATCAGTGTTCTTGTAATAAAAATCGATTAATTAATAGAGCCAATGAGCCTAATTGCGAGTGAAATAGTGATGGCGCAAAAATTTGGTGGTCCCGTGATTTTTATCCAATCCGATTGTAAGATCAGTGTGTAACATATAATTGCGAAGTAAAAATTAAAGGCGAAAAAAAAAAAACTAAACCACAAAAAACTCATAAATTCGCGAAAAAAATTAGCCTTTGGTAATTAAATAAAAGTTTTCGGCACAAAAATATAGACATTAATTTTTAGACGAAAATTAAGATATTGTTTTTTAATTAGTCACAGGACCACCAAATTTTTGCGGCATCACTATTTCACTTTAATTTGCATTTCTATATAAAGGTGATATATACTATCAAAACGACTAGAAACTAATCATGCTCATGATTAATTACGAAACATCAAAATTTATCAGGGGTTAAACTCGCCATAGTGAAAACTTAAATTTCACTTCCAGCTTTTCGCTCTGCACTCATTTAAACTAATCAACAGAATATTATTGCAAGATCAATAATCAATGATGCAATAGTCTATTGAAGTATGATGTATTTAACTACCCCAGTATCGCCGTCAAATTTTCACTTTCACGTGATGATCATCCAATGACAAGTCTCACTTTAATGTAATGTTACATGATTAGGAAGATCAAAACAAAGCGCTCGTTTTTTCAAAAATCACTTATTCCTCAAAAACTAACATAAGGAACCACCTTTTGTGCTCTAACAAAAAAAATTGCTTGTGCAATTTTACTATTGTTAGCAGATAAGTGATCAACACACACACCCACAAACAAAAAGAAAATGACAGTCAGTTGTTGGACAAAATAGGGAAGACACAGGTAACAATACTTAGTAGAGAGTGAGGCGGATAACGATTTGGCACGGGTCTAAGACGTCTACTAAGTATCGTTACGTAAGTAATTCGATACGGTTTTTAATGAACGTTTGATTTGGTTTTACTGAAGGGCTTTTATTAATGACTTTATTATTCGTAGAGCAGATAGTACACACTGAATGAAATATGTAAGGTACTAATTATATATCCCGATAAGAGGAGTTTGGGCCTCTTATTTATAATAAAATTACAGGGCAAGAAAGAAGATCAAGATCGAACATCTCCTCCCATCGATTGTCATTGAACCGTCATTGACTCAAGCCATCTGACCCTTTTCTGGTCTAATTCCAACCCTTTCTTACAGCTATTCTCATTGAGCATTTGACGGAGACTATTAAGGTGTGAAAAGTCCGTCCTTTGAATTGACTTAGCTGGATTTTTTTGAGTCAGCTTTAGACACGGCATGCATGCCTTGCACGCATGGATATTTTTTCCTGTAATTGTTACGCTAAATATAAGATGCATATGCAGTTGTGTGATTTGAGTCCAAAGTTTGACCTTTTTTTTTTTTTTTTTTTTTCATTAAAACCCCGAGATAACATTTATCTGGGGACGTCGAGTGACGCTGTTAAAAGTTTGACTTTAGATTAAACTTTAATAGACTTGACTTTTGGAATCGAGTCGAACGGACTTGCTTTTGCAATATATCAACAATCTTATAATATATGAAACGAGTTAACACGAGTAACAAATTTTTTTTTGAACTTTAAATTAACAAGAACTTGACTAAATTTTTAATTCTTTTAAAAATCTTTTACCAAATTGGTGATCTTTAAAGGAATTGGTTCAAAAAAAAAAAAGAAAAAAGGCAATTACTATTGAATTATCCTTATACAGTATGTATGTAAAATTAAATTTTAAAGCAGTAAACTTTTGATAGTTATTCCATTATAGTAAAAATATTGATTAAGGTTCAATACGCACGGTTATCATAAATTGCTAAGTTGAAATACATTCTTGATGAAGGTATACTTAATTTGAAAAAGTTAGACCGTATGATTATATCGATATAGTCTACCAAAATTTTAAGGAATTTTATTAGAAGGTAAAAAGCGTGACTTTATATTGTAATATGATTGGTCAATCAATTTTGTGTAGCCAGTGGCCGTGAAATCAGATCAAGTATAAATATTCTAACGTAATTTCAACCTTCTAACACTCTCAACCATGGCAGAAGCTATATCGGAAATGCAAAAACTTGTAAAGGAAGCTTCAGATATAAAATATATACCTGGAGCCTCACTAAAAACTTATTTCCGTTCGGCAAATGCTTTGTTAAGACAGGTATTTTTCAACAATACGTTTCCATTACATTGCTTAGCATTTAACAAAGAATCGACCAGGGCGGCCACCAAATTTACTGCCATGTGAGTAGCGCCGCCTAGGTTCAATATACACAATATGCAAATATGCAATGTAAGGTCATAACAATAGCACTATAGATTCAGTACTGATTCGTCTGCTACAATTACGGAAGGTGGCGCTACTCACATGACAGTTAATCTTATGGCCGCCCTGGTCGATTCATTTAACAAAAGTATTTTTCTAATAGGCAAATCGATATAAAGAAGAAAATGACTTAATCAACGCATATAAATTCTATATGAGATATGCAACGTAACTAATTCAAATTAATCTAGCTTATAAAAAAAAAAAGAAAAGAAAAAAGCATACAGAACCTAAAGATGCCTGAATTAAATCTATAGGTTGGCGCTCGAAAAGTTACCCAATCACCCGGAATATAAAAAATCAGAACATAAGGCTGGAAAAGTAGAACTTTCCAAAGTATCAAACGAGTTTAATTATGATCAGTATTGATAAATTTAATTAAAAATATCATGCCTCATATCGAATGTTTTATTTTCTAGAATTCAATGATTGTTCTAGGAGAAATTGAAAAGCTCAAACCTATCCTTCAAGAACACTTTCAACACTCCGCAGAAAAAGAGTTAATAATAAAAGATGTGTCTTTGAGTTCGATCGAGAGTCAGAAAGATCAAACTCAAGAATATAATAATACGGACTATCATAACGATGAAAGTTATCAGAACAGAGAATACGATGATCAAAATGATTATCAAAACAAAAGTTATCAAAGTCAAGGACTTCAAAATCAAATTCCGGAATCGTCTCTGGATCTGGTAGAACAGCTTAAAAACATCAATTTGCATTCGACATCTTCTGAAATAACGTATGTTTAATGATAATAAATTAGCATTTCTATATTAATTCTTTTGTAATTTGACATCTTCTATTAAAGTAAACCAGAAGAACAATCGCAACCAAAGGTACTTTACATTCTTAAATTTTTTGACAAGATATTCTGCATGGACTTATTTTGATTGTTCTGGATGATTCAATAGGTTTATTACCCCAATGTTTCAGAACGAAATCAAAGTGACGGGTATAAACTGGATCTTTTATTCTTCGTCTAATTATATCAGTTTATATATCTGGTTGTAATTTGTTTTAAACGTAATAGATATCATTATTCTGCACATACACCGCGTGTAGTATCATCACAAGCATTATCATTTTATGATGCGCCATCATCGGGTTTTCCACCTTCTGTAGAATCATTACAAGCATTATCACCTCAAGTAATACCATCACCAGTATTATCGCGTCAAATACCACCTTCAATAGTGCCATCACCAGTATTATCTCGACATATAACACCCCCTGCATTACCTCCCAAAGTGAGAAACGAGGCACCTCAGTTACCGCCAAAGCCGAACGGATATAGTATTGAAGAATTTGCTTCCAACAAACATGTTCATTACGATCATTTTAAGGCCATTAAAGATTATGGTTTGCAGCCAGGTACAAACAGATAGTATAGATAGTCTCTTTGTTTATAATATTGCAGTATTCATTTCTAAAAAGATTATATACTTAAGAGTACCAAGCATATACCGAAGGTGGAGAGGGTCTTCGAAGAGTATATCTTCCTGATGATATCTATGAGATATTTATTAAGGTCGCTTCCAAAAATACAGAAAAGAATTTGGAAACGTGTGGAATTTTGTTTGGTAGTTTGGTAAATTATAGTTTAATTGGTTCTTTTATTTATCTTTGTAATCATGTGTTTACTAATAATATTACTATTTCTATTATAAGTCACATAATGTTTTCTATGTCACAACGTTGATAATTCCTAAACAAACTGCAACATCTGATACCTGTGAAGTTACTAATGAAGAAGACCTTATCGAATATGAAGAAAAAGGATTGATGATACTTGGTTGGATACACGTAATAGTCATTGCATTATTATCTTTTTTTTATTTGAGTGCTGCCAAGGGAAAACCTGTCATCGGGCTTGTTTATTTACTGAGTGTCGTCTAGAAATCTATCATCAAGCTTCCAATTATATTTTGTGGCGAGTTGTTACAAACTATAATTAAAAGCCCGATGATAAATTTTCCCAGACGGCACTCAGTAAGCAAACTGAACATTGAAAACCCAATGACAGGTCTTCCATTGACAGCACTTATTTCACATATTTCATATTCGTTTAAGCTTAATCGCAATTTTTTCAGACACATCCAACACAGACTTGTTTCATGAGTTCAATGGATCTACATACCCATTCTTCTTTTCAAGTTATTTCTCCCGAGGCAATAGCTATCGTATGTGCTCCAAAGAAATACCCAAAGTTAGTTAAATAATTTAATTAAAATCCTTAGTTCTGTCTAAATTGATGTTGTGAACTAAGCTGGAACATTTATTCGGGACTTTGAGGACTATGTGTACTACAATACTACAGGTTATCCTCGTTAATATCAACCTATTTGAATTGGTTTTAAATTATGTTGATAGTAATATTAACGAGCAATCATATTAAAGTTGATATATATGAGAGAATCTTGATATATAAAAATTTATAAAAATTTGTTTTGTGGCCTAGGTTGATATTAACGAGGTTGATATTAACGGGGGTAACCTGTATTACACAGTGTTATAAGTTAACTCGAAACGTTTCGGACTCTAAAAAGCAGTTTAGTCGCAGCACTAATCAAAATCAAGAAACTTAACGGTTTTCTTTAAATTACTTAGTTTTGGCATATTTCGTCTCACAAATCCGCCGGGATTACAAAAAGTGCTTGAATGTACCTTAAGAGGTTTTCATCCCCATGAGTGTGACGAACCTATTGACAAGGTAAGTTGACATAGTTTGTTCACAATAGTGCAGGATTTTTTTTTTTTTTTTTTTTTTATAATATTTTCGAAATGACCATTAATAGGAAATCACCGAGAATGGCCATATCATAATGAAAAGGATGGCACTTGATGTTATTGATTTACGTTGAAACTATTAACGAATGTACTATAACCAGCATTTAAAATTTGAATTTGATTTTATGTTCTCAAAAAATCCCAAAAATTTTTTAATGTCCCCAATTTATGAAAAATTGATTTTTTTTTAATATAAAAAAATTGTCAAATGGAAACTTTTTTAACAATTAGCGTTTATAAAATTAAGTGTTTTTTGAGGACAGTGAGAATGCCAAATTTTAACCGCTAACATTAGTTCGCCTAGATGTGATAGGTTTTTGTTCAAATGATATTATATTGAAAGATAGAAAGTTTAGAACTAAGTGACATGAATTAAATTTTGTTGATTGTTATTTATTTATGTTGAGAATACAACTATATTCTCTCACATTTTATAAAGAACCATAATAGAAGGAATTGTATTTATAAAGTTACATTTTTTTTTAAATCATGTGTGAGAATGATTATGGAAGTCAATATGTTTTTTGACTCATTCCAAAGAAGTTTTAGATTTGTCAGAGAGCTAGGTGGCATGCTATTTGTGTTATTCTATTTATGAAGGAGGAAACAACTTAATTATAAAAGGTTATAGAGCATTTCATCTATAAAAAATACTCACCATTCTTTCTATCATTAAATCATATTTCTTTATCAACTCTTTACAGACTGAATTGATCCATTCGTAAGCTTCAATATCATTTTCATAACTTACAATTTCACACTTTCCAGATATGGTGTTCTGCCATTTTGTTATTAAACGCTGTGTTTCGTGTGATATGTCATTAAACGGTCGAAGAAAACGAAGACGCAAGGCTGTCAGAAGACGAAATGATATCTGGGATGTATGTAGAGTGTAATCACTTTTTTGTTTAAAAAAAATATATATGTATACATGTCAGAATGAATTTGGTGGTTTGAGTGTTATAATCGATGATTAAGAACAATATTGTACATCTACAACATCTGATAATCCTTAGGTTGTATAATTTTAAATAGGGATCGGACCCGAGTAGAACTTTACTATGAGTACATAATACTTTACCCGACTAATCCGGGTAGTCTAATAATACGAATAGAAATTTCTCGACGGGTCCAATCCTCAGTTTTTTTTGTCGACATTAAATAAGCAATAATCAAGTCTAGTATAGATGACCTATACTATAATAGATTGATTTTATTGATATGATTACCTCTACTAGACTTGATCCAAAATTAATTACATACCCATAAAATCCACTTGCCATCAATAAGCTTAATTTTTTAGATGTAACATATTCATCCTCATGAATATTAAATTTAAAAAATTCATCATCAAGTAAAATGTAATTAAAGGGATTATTTGGGATAGTGAATCCGTAGTCAAGTAACAATTTAAAATTATCATGCGGACCATAGTTTATAAATACCTTGTTTCAACATACAGTATATATTAAAAAAAAAACTTTTTAAAGAGATTAAGTTGAATATAAATTAATTACTTGTTGTCCCTTTTTCCATGATGTGGAAGTTATAATCTCATAACATTGGGTCAATTTATTAAATTCACCTTTGGTCTTTAGAACAAATATATATAGTTTTATTACAGTATTTTTACAGTATTTATATTTTCTTAGTATATTTATAATGAATAAAATAAATACCTTTGCATTAAAATTATGATTTAAACAATCTAACATTGGAGCTATAGCGATGTTCTCCCTAACATCACAATTTATAAATTTAAAAGGTTCAAAATAGATACACCTAGTGTTAACTAAATAAATGAATCAATATATATAGTTATTTATAATAGGCAGTTTTTTTAAACATAAAATCCATTGTATAAATCAATAAATACCACAAAGCCAACCCCATAAAAATTCATTATATGTAATATTGATATCAGAGTTTAATTGGTTCTATAAATAAACATATATACAGTTATATAATAAAAATTTGAATAATTTAATAATAAAGTTTGAAATTAAACATACCTTTAGAAATTTACAAACAGATCTAAAATCTTCTTGAAACCTTAATTTTTGAGATTTGACATCCTCTTTATAATAATTGATAATAATTATACATATAAAGTACATAAAAAAGATAAATATCTTTGTATTTATAAAAGTATATAAAACACAAATCATTACCTTTCAAGTTGTTAGGTAATAATTCCAACAATTTCAAATCGAAACATATTGGAACTGTATCAAAACTCTTTGGTAACATTTGAATATAAGGGTAAATGGAGCTTTTAGTATTTTTATGTCGTTCTAAAATTAGGTAAAGTGCTAGGGATTGATGTGCATTAAGCTTTGGATCTGTTATATTACTTTGTTTCAAATATTAATAATGTTATAGAAATTGAGATTTAAAATAATAAAATTGAATTGATATATGAAAAATAATCTTATGATACCATGAAATGTAATCACTTAACAATGTATTAGATGAGAATTTAGGTGTAATGATTAATCTTAAGGGAACAGATATTAGTATTTCTCCAGCCTGATGAAATGATGAGATTAAACCATTTTAAATGTTGTTACTTTGTATATATTATTTAACCTTTTTTTTTTAATAAAAAAAATCAGAAAAAACTTAACGACAATATCCTTTGTCGCCATCATGCCTCTTCCAATCCCTGCAGTGAAGTTTCAAATAAAACATCTGAGCACATATATTCATTCTTATATGTTATAAAATTACCATCGAATTTAGCCAAAGTTAATTTTATCTTTGGAAATCCTTTTTGTTTTAACCAATCGCGGAACATTATCCATTCTATATCTTTAATTACTATCAAGAAAAATAAGACGTATTTTAATGAATAAGGAGTGTTTCATTAGGGAAGAGCAGTGTTGATATTTTAACTAATTGAAAATAATATGTCAATCTATGGACAGTAATTTTTAATTGGACATATAGCATTTGGACTATGTTCAAATATATTCAAAAATATATAATAGTCCGAATGTCAACACTAGGGAAGAGTATATGGGGGTGAGTCAATAGAAATCAAGCAAATTGTTTTTATTAAATTTTTTTAAACCTTTATATACAAATAACTTAACCAAAACTTGATCAAATTTAATAAAATTTTTTTAAACAAATTCTATAAGTTTGTAAAAAAATTTTTATTAAATTTGATTAAAAAAATTTACTTAAAAAAAAATTTGCTTGATTTCTATTGACTCAACCCCATATAATAACTTTTAAACTTGAAGGCAAACCTTTGCCTTTATCGAGTCTGTTATGTAATTGCCGATTCAGCCGTTTTCTGAACGTACGACCTAAGCGAGATTTTCTAGGATTAGACATGTTTTCAATCATTTCTTGTACGTACGTAAGGGAAAAAAAAACGGATATATTTATAAACGGAAATTGATCTGCTAATAATTTAACTAATTAAAGATAAACAAGTTATTAATTCTTGCAGCAACTTTCGATAGCATGCCAACGCGATATCTCCCAAATTTACGTTAACCAGTCATTTAGAACAGTTATGCTAAAAATAGCTATATACTATGCTTATGACATGAATTATAATACCCTAACTTCCTTCTTATTAGATATAACTCATTTTGAGAAATAATGTGAGTGCCGTTTATTACGTAATTTTAGAGAGAGGGGTTGGCGTCTTTATGAGTGCCGTCAAGGGAAAACCTACCATCGGGTTTCAATTATATTTTGTACCGGACACAATCCTTAATAAATTACGTAGATTGTGTCTGGTACAAAATATAATCGAAAGCCCGATGACAGGTTTTCCCTTGACAGCAAAATTATGATCGGCTGCTAATTCGATCACCTAAGCAATAAAAGGAAATTACGCACTCCCTTAAACAGGTTGGTGAAGAGCTTATTGCATAATTAACATTTATTTCTTATTTCACAAGCTTATTTAATAGACGTTTCTGCTTAAGTACAGCATAAAAAACTGGTTAAAATATTGCATTAGAAAAAAGAAAAACATAGTTTAGTCTGATGATTAAATATTACAATTATTGAATATTACAATATTAACAGTAAATAATGCAACTTATAAACAGCAATGATGAAATAATTGGCTTGAAAGATTATACTACACTAACATTATGCATCTATGTCTTCAGTCACTTCAGTCACTTCAGTCACTTCATTCACGCTTTTTTTTTTCAAAATAATGAAGGACCTAGCTATTATCAAACCCCAATATATAAAATATCCAATAACCTGACCCAAACTGGCTTTATTAGTCCATCCAAAGAAACCTTCCATTATCTTCCACCCCTCATCAGCTTCCGGATCGCAACAATCTAAATTCCACAAATAAGTTCTTTTAGAATCTGTGGCTATTTCAAAATGAGAAATTGCAGACCCAAATAATCCAGCAGCCACAAAAAAAAATATGACAGTACAGATCATGAAAAAGGTACGCAGAGAAATAAAGTTAGATCCTCTATATATTAGATAACCTCCTAAGCAACCTAATGCAGCGCCAATTAACGCTGATACTAAGAGGCGTAAGTAATCTTGATTGAATGACTATTAAAGTAGAATAGGATGGTTAGTATGTTATATACGAATTAGAAACAATCAAATAACATTAGGAAAATGTTACCCCAAAAATAAATATAAAAGATTCCAAAGCTTCACGCATAATAATGGTAAGTGGTAAAAAAAACAAGAACCACTTATTTCCACTCACATATTTTTCTAAGTAAGTTAATGTGGTATGTTTTACTTGTATTTCTAATTGCTCTTTCCATAGAGCAACTCGAATCATATACCATGCAATTAGCGTAATCAATACTGTGGCAAGCAACGCAGAAAAGGCCTCTAATTTATCATTAAAATAATTGATTAATTTGCTATATCTAAGATATTATAGAAAAAATAAAATTACGCACCCCATAAATTTTCACTCCTAAAAAATAAATGATAATAATAATATAATTTTTAGTATTTAGTTTATGAGTTATATCTGGCTGGGCAAAGGTACACTGACCCATTTGGCAAATCCTTTGTGATGGCGTAAAAAACACAGATAAACAAAATTCCCAGGATCAAC